CAAGGTACAATCAGATTATACTGGAAATCATCAGACACACAGTAGGGAGCGCTCAGATAGCAATATTACAGAATCGGTGGGAGTTGTTGACCTCACCCCCCCACCCCCACCCCACTATCCCTCTTTCCTCTAAAAGAAAACCTATGGAAAAAAAAAAATTAAAACTCGAAACAATTTCCACATAACGCCTCAACCAGTTACCAACATTGCAAGAGGTAGTATGCGTCTGCCGGGTTCTACTTCCGTTTTGAGTTTCTTGTTGTTTTTTGTTTTTTGTTTGTTTTAGTTTTCCGAACATGGTTTTTACAAATCAACGTCGTGCAGAAAGTGTCTTGTTAGACAAAACACCGAGTTTTGGAAATTGAAGCTTTTAGTTTCACCTTAAAACATACAAAAATGTGATTCTATTATCACGATCCCTATACAATAACACTATTAGTAGGGTATTCATATCGCTTGATTCATTATTTATTTTTTCTTAACTGTTTGAGATTTTGCCTTTTTTCCCCATGATGTACACGAGTGGTCAGATCATCGTCAAAAATATAATAATTTTCAGGTAAAAGAGATCAAATGACATAATATATTGTCCCTTCCTTTCATCCTCTGTATTCACACACCGCCTCGACCACTTACACCACAGTTAATCTGTCTCTCAGTCTGTCTACCTTTATAATTATACCACTTAGGCATAATGTAACTGAAGTCTAAATATTTGCTTGGTGGATTTAAAAAACAACAACAACAAAAAAAACGATTCTTTTTTACTTTAACATAGAGCAGTATTTCTCTCAACAGTAAAAAAGAACAATCTTCAAAAGGAAATGATGATTTCATTCACTCAACAATAGTAATTATTTTCATATGTTCTTAACACATGAAACAAAAGCTTTTTATTCTCCTTCACGAGGAAAAGTCTTGGATGTCAAATAAAAAACATTAGAATTTAATATTTCAAGAGTTCCGTAATTTCTCCTCTTGCCTTTGAAGTTCCATTTGGAGATCATAGATGTCTGCTATCACAAAGTGCGTATGGGAACCGGTAGTCTTTCAAATCGATCCGATACTCCACAAAGTTGGCGTCCCGTTATGGCCACACCTCATTACAGTAAATATTAAGAGGGAAAACTTTACAAAAACACATTCGATATAACCATACGCTTTAGTTTTTTTCGTACTTTCTCTATCTGTCTAGATATAAAGTATAAAGAGAAAGGGGGGAGAGAGAGAGAGAGAGAAAGAGAGAGAAAGAGAGAGATATATATAGAGAGAGTGAGAGAGAGAGGTGAGAGAGAGAGGTGAGAGAGAGAAAGAGATAGAGAGAGAGGGGGAGATAGATAGAGGGAGATAGAGAGAGAGAAAAAAAGAGAGAGAGAGACAGAGAGAGAGAAAAAGGAAAGAGAGAAAAAAGAGAGAGAGACAGACAGAGAGAGA